GACCTTTTAGGATCCCGGACGAAGACTATGCCCTTTTCCGGAGTTCGGACAAAGACTATGCCCTTTCCTCGAGTCCGGACGAAAACTATACCCTTTTTTTCTAGTCCGTGTAAAGACTATTACATTTTTTTCGAGTCTGAACGAAGATACTGATTTTTTCTGGAGTCCGGATGAAGTACAATTCATTTAAGCTCATCTTACATTTGTGTTTGTAATTAGATATATTATATAGTCAAATATACTTAAATAGTGGTTGATGTTTATATTTATATGAACAATTGTTAATAATACCATACCATTCTAAAATAATAATACAAACTCAGGAATGTTTTTATAAGCGTGGTAATTTGCAATGAATATGAAAAACTCTTTTATGTTTTATTTCCAAATTTATTATTTATTCTACATTTTTGTTGATTATTATAAGTAACTCATATGATTAGTGTAACTTGAAGTTAAAAACTAATAAAATTTGTACAATTTGTGGTATAATAAAATATAATATTCGTACGAAAATTGAGAAAAAAGTATACTTTCTTTTATTAATTAATGTTTGCAAGACATGCATATTTGGATTACGAAGTATTTTTTGACATATAAATAAATTAGTAAGTTTAAATTAATTACAGTTATTGTTACATATAATTTACCGAATCTTTTAAAAAAAAGCTCAAAAACCCCTTTTTTTCAAACACTTACCAAAACTTCAAACACTCAAGCCCTTAGACCTGCTAAGAATAATGATTACATAGTGTTTTATTACAAAGGCGTCTGTAGATTCAAGTACATGTGACTCTCGATGTAAAGATAAAACTTATATCGATATAAATATATACACAAGTATCAAAAAATCTAAAAATGTTAAATCATTTTCAGAAGCTTCGTATTCGTGAGCTTCTTCTAGCGTACTTGTAGCTAGTGGAGGGGTTAGTAAATAATATTGGAGTGTTTTTCAATTTAGTTTCCGTCTAGACACGAGAAAAAGACATATTTTCAGCCCAGACTTAGAGAAAATAGCATAGAAAAAAGGTATAGTCTTCGTCTGGATGCGAAAAAAGGGCGTAGTCTTCGTCCGGACTCAAAAAAAGGGTACAGTCTTCGTCCGAGTCCAAAAAAAGGGCATAGTTTTCACCCGGACTAGAAAAAAAGGCATAGTTTTCGTCCGGGCTTGAAAAAAGAGCATAGTCTTCGCCCGGACTCAAAAAAACTGGCATAGTCTTCGTCGGGGATCAAAAAAGGGCATAGTTTTCGTCCGGGCTAGAAAAAAGGGCATAGTTTTCGTCCAGAGGCAATTAGGGCATAGTCTTCGTCCAGGGCGTCGATATAGAGTTAGTAATTAAAAAACGCAACTAAATCATAAAAAAAAAAAAAAAAATAGAATTGCATATTTTACAAAAGTCTCATATGCACAAAGCTATAGCAAAATAATTAATTAAATCATTTGACATGTTACATTACAATGAGAGCTTTACTAGCAGAGCTGAAAATTAATTAAGTCGGATCCGCCAGGTGACGTAGACGTTAAATCGAAGCTACCTGCAATAGAATTGAATCAGCGTGGTTATAATAGGCCCGAGCATCTCAGCGATTGCCATAGTCATCCACTGGCCATTCATTAAGAATAGAGTTGTTAATCGTGGAGCTAGGTATATCGGCAATCGATGACACTATTCCCCAATGGGCAAGCGACCTACGTCTAACTCCACCCTTAACTACCAGGATTGACGAATGCCGCCAATAAAAAAATGTTTTAAACGATAAAGTCACCGATGGAATCCTAAGAAAGGTGCGTAGACAGAGCACAATCTGCACCAATACTTCAGAGTTTTGTGGCCGTTCAACCATCTGAATTGGTTTCGTCAAAGAATTTTTACAACGAATGTGAGCCAAGGAAGACAGCACTGAGGAGTACGGGCAGCCACATCAACTTTTTTCTTAGAGATTGTCCCAATGGCATACCCACAGAGGAGGTATTGTCCAAGCCCACTTTCTCGACTAACAATGAGCGGTTGGTTATCCGGGGAACGACCTAAAGACGAGATATTCTGTGGTCAGCGGCGTACCGCCCTCCAGCACAGTCTCCATACATAGAGACTACGGAGGTAAGAGTCAAGCTACCCGCAACCAACTCTCCAGCATCAAGAATAATAATAAGAAATAGTCAGAAGTTTCACCACTGGCCCTTTTTCAGACCACTATAAGTACGTTCTCCACTTAACCATCAATCTCATCGGTTTTTTACGGGCCACTTAAGCTTAAACTACCTTGCAAACAAATACATTTTAAATACCATTTCCGGAAACGATTCGTCAACTAAAAAACTATGTAGAGCCAGCCACTATTAAACCACGTCAGTCATTCACTGGCAGACGTCACGAGCGGAGTTGTTCTTCGCAAGGCTAGGAACCCCAGTGACCAACGATCCTATATTACCCTCTCGACTCTAAGCATTTAACCAGGAATCACCGATCCCCCAAGGTCTGCACTGGGAGAACCTACAGCTATGAAGGAAAAATAAACTTGAGCAAACGGGACAGTCTCCAACGGGCAAGAATGAGTCTGTAAAACAAGGAGGTGCTTTAGACTTTTGTCTTCGGCGTAATACCAGGAGACGTTGGAAAAAAGCTTTAAAACTAGCTCCAAAGCTTAAAACGTTGTAGTTTGTTTCCCTATCAGTCTTGTGCTACAATAACCGGCCAGAGAAAATCACCCTGAGGTATAGAGGCAATCACGTTTGCTGGAAGCTCCAGTCTCAAAAAAGAGTGTACTTAAGAAGCTCACCAGTCCTTTTTAGGGCCATTGGACGTCGAACTACCTTGCCGACAAATGCGTTATCACTTAACAAAGTTGACAAAAAACAGTCTTTAGGACACACAAAAGTCTCAACCATGCCAAAAGTCGCAAGAGGGCCAATTGGAAGGAAGACTTCAAATGCATCTAATGAATACAAATTTAGGTGTCAAGAAGCTGACGCAGATCATTTATCTAGATTGAAACAGCAGCGTCCAAATCGATAAATAAAGAATCTCTCACGTGAGCGATCAGCTTTTGATTCCACGCTCACAGTAATTTCTTAAATTCTCCAGATTTGTAAATAGGTAAAATATGTATTTGTATTTTTGTGGCGATGAAAAATGGAGAAATTAAGCCCCAGGACTTTGTTGCTCTAGTAATAAAGTTGTGAGATAAGACAAAAAAATTTTTCTTTAATTATACATTTTTCGTGAGTTTTAAATCTTTACGGCTTAAAAAAATAGCCCTTTTGGTAGATAATACGGGAGAAACTGCAAATTAACGGTCCCATTTTATGTCATAAGAAATGCATAGTGCTTTTCAGCATGATTATATTTTTTTCACTTTCAACCAAATAAACTGTATGGATTCCGAACAAATACGTTCTTAATAAAAAGATTTTTGTTCTCAGAAGTATAAAATTGTTCCGAGATAGATAAAATGTAAAATTTTTAACAAAAAACGTGTAACATTACATGTCAACATACTACGGTGTTCTATTTAGTGAGTCTCGGGCGAAGCCGAGACGGGGGGGGGGGCGCTAATTAAAAATAACCAACAGACAACTACTGTTAAAGCAAAGCAAGAAATAGTAAATAATTAATTAAGTACTACTATGTAAGTAACGCTATTACAAAACATTAATTAAGGTCATACTTAACACAGCACCAAATGTTATACAATACATAACGCTGATAAAATTATGCATTATCATTGCTAGCAAATAGAAAGGTACTAAGAACGTAAATTAAAAAGCGAATCTTTATAAAAAAATGTAAGAAATGACTTGAGTACTTGCATTCTTCGTTTCGTGTATGTATAAGGCTTTTTAACATTTTGTATAACGTACATACTATCAGGCACACACATTTTTATAAGCATGTCACTACTTTTGTTTTTAAAAAGCCCCCTACTTGTATTCCATAAATACTTGCATTAGGAATATTTAACTATTAGTTCTTTCGAGCAAAGACAAAGTAGAATAAACGATATTCATGAGAGTGAACATGTTGCTTACATAACAATAGAAATTTTTTGGTGTACGTTCGCTAGCAAAAGTAATATTTATTGGGTTAATCAACAAATTTACCGCCTAGGAAATCTTCTTCTAGGAATTGGCTGTTTAAAACATTAAGTATTCGGAAAATGCCACTAAGAGAAATAAGTAAAAGCCTGAAACTAAGGTTTTAAATGTTTCCATAATTCTCAGCCTCACTAAAAAGATAGAAGAAGGTAGATTTTAGATTAGCGGACAGACAAGTGAAACATACAGTGATTAAAGTCATTCCATCAAATCACACGGTCAAATAGCTATAGTTTCAAGTTATCAGTAGTTTTTTTTCAAACACAATCATTGAAAGTTACTGATCCTTATTAAAAAAACTTATTAAAAAGTGTTTAACTAAAATTTTCCACTAAAAGCAAAAACTTTTTTCAAATTTTCTACATCACCATCAGAAAAACAACTGATAGGTATTTAAAAACTATTGACTAACACAGATCAACTACTAATAATAAAAAAGGAACTATATTTCAACTTAAAAATAATAGTGTATTTACTTTATCTATAAAAGGATGTCGAGAAAATTAGTAAGGTAGTAAATAATACCACAACATTCGATAAAAAGAAGCACAAGAAAAGAAAAAGAGCCACGCTATCTACATCCACAAGGTTTTATAAAAGTCTGCCATACTGTGTTTTTCCAGACTATAAGTATTATAACATACGTCTACGATATGCTGGAGTGTACCGCTATAGAAGTTTCTTATTGCTTCATCATAACAAGACGTCAACCACAGACTCTCGGGAAGTGCAGAGAGCTATCAGTCTCTTAGTTTCTGGTACAAAGGCCAGACATGGCATTTTTCACGGCATTAAAATCGTTACTGAGTACACAAAATCTAACTCAATTACTACCTTGAACAGAATTTAAAACTTAGGACAAAGATTGTTTTCAAGTATAAAAAAAAAAATATAAACAATAACATATTTTTCAAGATTATTTATTCAATTCTTAACAATAGAACGTGACCCGAAACAAAAATTCAATTTGATAATCTCATAAAAATGAGAGTATGCCATTACAGACTGCATTATCAAGCATTATTTGAATGTGGTCTATGTTATTTGTTTGTTTCAATAATATTCATGAAGGCTTTTTACGTAGTATTGAATACATTATTAAAAGAGACAATAACGTGACACTAGCTATCAAACTTTTTAAAATTAAAAGTAAAAAAAAATGAATAGGATGTTATCAAGGCTTGTAAGAACATTGTTAGACATGGAGCATGCTATACTTTAAATACACAAAATTTACAAAGACATACATTTGAATGAGACTGTTTTTTTTTTTTAAGCTAATCTTCATTAAACTCAAAGGGTTGTGGTGGTTCCGCTTCATTTTCTTCTTCAGGCTTAGGTCCAAATGCTAAAATAAAAAGATCTTAATTAAAAAAACATCAAGGAAAAAGACTCATTAATATTAAAAACAAGGTAAAAAATATTTTACTGAAAACTCTTACTTATTACAAGTAGTATTAAACTAGAGTTTAAAGATACTTAATCCAAGGAAAGTTTTTAAACATCACTAAAAAGTATAATCCTTCTGTAATATTTATAGTAAATTTTAGTTAAAGTAGGCAATAAAAAGGAAATTACAAAAACAAATGTTTTTTTAAGAGGTTCCTACAACCTACTGGTCTCCTCATCAAGGCCACCATCCACTTATCACCTGTGTATGGCGTTGTATTACCACACTTCATTAACAATTACCTAACAGATACAATACATATCATAGCATGGGCACAGTAAAAGTTTCATTGGTAAAAGCATTTACTGTACAACTACAACTTCCTAGTTAAGTTGGCTCTTCCTGTACAAACAATACATCAAGTCCACTCATCACTATGTAGTCTTTCCCTGAACAAGACTTAATATAACAGGTGTCTTCTCTTCGCCAGTTAAATCAGAACTCTTTGTCAAAGCATCAGATCCAAGCTAATAAGGGTCCCTAAGAAGTCTTATGTTTAAAAAATCATTTCTCACCGTTAAGGCCAGCAGTCCCTGCCTGACGCACAGAGGGCAAATTTGATTGTTTTTTTCTTTCTGGGTTAATTTTTTTTCTTACTTTCAAAATGGTTCCATTTACATATAAAAAGAGCATAGCTGGATAACTAGGGTAAGACTGCCTTATTTCTATAAAACCTGGAGACATTCATGCATGTAGTGTACTGTAAAATGAAATTTTTGAAAACTTTTCCAAACTCCAATCGACCAATGGGATTACTACAGGCCCCAAATGACGAATTCCAGTGTTTTAAAGTTATCTCTGCGATTATGAAAACGATCCAAAAAGATTTCTGATAAGGGTTAAGAATAAATGAAACTTGAATAAACGAAAATAAACTAAAATCTTTTTAAAATTTTTAGTGCAAAATTGAAATTTTGTCTAATGTTCCAAAATTTTAGACCGTTAAATAAAACTGATATTTGGGAGTGCAGCACTAAAAAAATCATACAATGCAGTTTCATATTTTCTACTATCTTGAATTTTTTCAGATTTTAGGAGCCACGTAGTGAGACAGAAAAAAATAAAAATCATTTGTTTGTCATATTTCCGTTATTGCTAGCTTCTGCGGAATATTTGCAGATAATATATATCTCTATAACTGGTGACTCATGTGGACATTACTATGTAAAAAAACGTCATTACAAGGACAAAATTGTACTGATGCGGACTGTACTCATAACTTTTCACTGTTATTATCATTCCATCACTTTATATATATGTATGTATGTATGTTTACAGATAGTGACTTATGCGGACTTTACGTGCTTCTAACATATATGTCAATAACATGGTAGAAATATGTGGACGTCCGCATAATTATACTTTTGTCCTCATAACTACCCTTACACACATGTAATTGTCCAAATAAGTCACCTCTTCATAAACACACACGCACGCACGCACGCACGCACGCGCGCGCGCGCACACACACACCCACACAGTTTGTTCAATAAAAATAATGTTTTAGTCTTTCAAGATACCTTTAATCATGAAGAATCGTCAAATAAAAAAAAAAATTTCAATTAGTATGGACAATAAAATACATAAATCTTATATTTATTGTTGTAATTTTAATATTTTTTAACAAAACAAACAATTCCTTTTCATATTTGTTAAGTATATCAATTAATGTTTGAAAAATACAAACTAGTTGTCAACAGAGGTATATTTTCGATAATATTTTAGCTAGTCTAACTGTTCTTGAATAAAATTTTGCGCAGGACAAGTAACAAATAATTAATGCCACATCAGAACAGCAGCTTTTAGTTCGTACATCATTTGCACACTTAACGTAATATATTATAAGCACTATAATCAATAGTATTAGGCCTATAGTCAATACAGCAGTAAAAAGTTTGTTTTTATATGTGCTAAGATTAAATATAAAACTTCATTATTGTAGATGTCTCTTCAAAGTATTCTACATTTATTCCATAATTTTTATCAAATATTTCTGCCAAATACGATACAGCTTGATGTAGTTGATAAGATCTTGTAAATAATATTTTCAAATCTTTTTCAGTCATTTCAGGAAAATTTTCTGCATCCGGAGATTTTAGTTTATTGAATTTACTATTTCATCTGCTCGATTAAGCTGATTCTACTTCTTCAGCCAATGAATTTTACTTATCCGTACTATTATTAATTTGCGACAAAACTTTATTTTATATCAAAACACTTGCGACAAGTGGTTTCCTAAATATATTTTGTAAAAAACCAACTCTTTTACAACAAGTTCATTCATTGAGAACTAATTTGTGGTTCAACTGATTATGAAGAAGTTTCCATTTCTGATCTTGTACTGCCAACACCATTACTGTCTCTACAACCCACCAAAACATTGTTCCTTAGCAGGAAAAATTTTCTTTAGCTGTATTAAGCTGTTTTCGCTGGTTGTTTAATGATGGCTTCAAGATTTTGATCGCTTCAGTTTCTAAATGCTTCACAATATCTCGAAAGCCACGATGAATAATAAAAACATCACCAGTCCCTATTGAATTAAAGTTTTTATTATTTTCTATCTTATTTTTGAGGATTTGAGCTTTATTTTTACTTTCTAAGAAAGGTCCAAGTAAATCTACAACGCATTCGTTTGTTGTATACATTGTAAAAGGTTTAACCAAATGCTTTTTTTTTGACTTGAGTACATTTTTTTCTGATACTTATTATTGGTACTCTTTTGGTGCATAAGCTAAGTTCCATCTGCAATCAAAACAAGTTTGTTACATTTAATATTACGGATGTGTCTTAGGTTATTTGCAGTGTAATTAGAAATGAGACCGTTTCTAGATACAGTATGAAGTTAAAAGCACGGTGGTAACACATCTTTTTTAAAGGTATTTAGAACCAAGGCACATTGATCTAAAACTTAGTTTAGCCGTTTAAGTCCAAACCAATATGTCACGTATTTGAATTACGTTTTCCTATAACCCAATAACCTTCAGGTATTATATAGTATATGTATATATATATATA